CTATGAAAAAAAAAAGTAATTAAAAAACAGAATGTTTAAACGCAGAGCCGTAGAAAATAGAAAAACATGTGAACGACTCCAAAGTGTAAAAAACAAAAAGTTCGAGAGGATGCAAGGCTGTTAATGCGACAACTACGCTATTGAAGTTTTGTCAGAATTTAAGGTGAAAATCAAAAATAAACTTTGTTCAAAAATACAGAACAGTATTTGCTTACTCGCGTACAGTTGGTTCAAAAAAATATTTGATGATGTTTTTAAAGAGCAGTTAATAGAAACATTGCAATGGTCATACTCCAAAAAAAAAAAAACACTACAAACTTCACTAAAAAAAAAGGAATTCTTCCAACCTGTAGAGATCCTGAATTAAAGAACTGTTATTTGTCTTCCGCCACTTCTGTTCCAGCGCATCAAACATAATACGACACAGCTCTTGAACGTCATGCTGATCATATGCTAAAATGCATCCAAATCTAGCACCAGTGTACACAATTTTTTAAAGATTTATGCATTCCCTATCACTAATACAAAAAAAAAAAAAAAAATACAGATGGCAATGGAAAAAATCAAAATATTCCATTGTAGGAAAACAAAAGCACAATGAAAACATAAACAATCACCAAAAGTAAGAAAAAAGAAAAACGTTTTCATAGTTATTATCATTTTGGAGAATAATTTGAGAATCAAAACAACCATAAATATAGAACAATCAATCTGGCCACAAACTTACGCTGCTAGCCAACATTATCCCTCAAATTCAAGAAGAGGCAAAAGTATACAAAAATTACTTTAAACAGTTTGCCAAAATTACTCTATCTCATGAATATGAATTTCAAACTACAACTTCCTCTAATTAGGGCAAAACGTTTCTGCTTTTTTACTTTAAAATATCGAGCACTTTTTCTTAGTAAATCAAAAAACCTGGTAAACAAGCATCTTGAGAAACTCAAAATGATTACCGATTACGAGTATACTCTCCAAACAAAATTACTTCACTGAAAAACTCACAAAGATTGTAAATTCACAGAAAATTCACAAAAAAAAAAAAAACGAAAATTTTTTTTTCACATCATCCTTACTATAACATATCTATTCAGAAGCCAGACAAAATACGAGAAACTCAAGCA